ATGTTGATTTCCCATTTTTGAGCCATGTTTTCAACTTGTACTAGTGATTTGCATACTTGTGATTTGCATAATTGGCGGATATTAATCACAAACCATTATTACACATTATTGATGTTTTAATTTAAGATTATTAGGTTTATTATTATCTGAAGTTTACAAATATATATATATATGATAAATCAATACATGCATTTAATACACATAATGATCTGAATGATATGAGTCTGATTTATGTGAAATGGTAGTAATAGGAATATCACCATTTGTACTCATGGTACGGAGAAAAGAGCAATATTTTTCATATCTGTGTTCTTCTACAACATTTCTGAAATCACTTAAAATTTACTCTTGCTAGCAATGTAACATTCAAACAAATATTTGCATAACGTAACGTAAATTCACAGTGAGATTTCCACCATCATGTCTTGTAAAACATCCAGTGTTTAAACTCTAAGACACTTCTGTTGGTTTTGGATTTCCTCTTTGAGTAGCACTTCTTGTCTGTGAATTTCATCTTGTTCAATCTCTTCATGGCTTGGGTGCCAAAGCCGTGATAGCAGCCTCTCAATATTTATTGAATACACTGTATGGGACGGTATTGTACTTCTATAGACCTGTACGGAGAGATCAATATTAACATGGCAGATATTGAAACAAAACAAGTTCATATGTGTGCAAGGAAGTATGAAACTGGTGTGAAGTTTGAAGAATAGCTTTTGTTGAAAACAAAATGGACATCATCCGATCAGAAAAACACAAGTCATTGCACTACATATTTCCTTTGAAGGGCGGCAGTCGTCGTGCCGCGTCCTGTTCGATATGGGACTCATAGCGGCGTATGCAACGTGTGTAAAATACATTGCTTGTTTACATGAAATTCAAACAGGTGCTGCGCGACAACCACCGCGCTTTAAGTTATCAAATTTAGGAAATATATAGAGTTTGAACATGATTGGTCAGGGCATGTCTGAGATATGAATCTGGAACTGCATTAATTTAAACAAAATGGCTGCCACTTTGAATCTGACCTGAAAAAGAAAACGATGTGCATCAATGTCCTATAATATCTAAGTTTGTACAGACTTTGTCCAATAGACCGAGACCAGGTTTAGAGATGACATTAATGCTTGATTTTTAGCATTAAAATGGCTGACATTTAATTGGTCATCTTGAATTGGTTTATCAAACAAAAACAAGTGTATATGTATGATGTATATATATAGTTTGAACATGATTGGCATTTATAACACAAAAGTGGCCACCATTAGGCTCATCTTTGAATATGAACATGCTTATGTATCCCAAGATGCATTCGTGTGAAGTTGGATTATGATTAGAGACTTACACATGGATGTACAGACACACTTCTATACATGTTAATGTATGCACATGACCTTAGAGGTCAAAGGTCTTACCTGTAATGTTTCTAACACATCATATAATGACATAGGTGGTACTGACTTTGGAGGTTGACTCACAGCCAGTAACATTGCAGCTTCACGTTCACCTTCCTCCATAGTAGGCCTGTCTGCTGGTACTTGACTGTGGTTTAAATCTGCTGCACTACACACACTGGAAAGTAATGTTAATACAAGAAAATTTTAACAGTGAGATGCCTAACATGGTAGATACAATATCATATCTACAAACCAATAAGTTGTGCATAGCTTCAAGCTGAATACAGATGGTCATATTTCATACAACATTAATTGTTGTTTGATTGATTGATAAAACATCAGTCATCTTTCCCACACGGTATTGTATACCCTGTTAAAGCGAGGGAGTCATCACCTGCGCATACATCAGATGGCCATAGCGTGTCATTGTTTACAAACAAGCATCTACCCATAAGCCTTTGCGTTTTAGCGTGTATTATCGTTCGTTGGGACTCAATTCCCGCGTGTGTGCAGGTGACGACCCTTCCGCTTTTAACATGGAGCACAAAGTGAGCAATCAAAGTACAATGTACACCTTTTTTTGGTATGTAATGCATTACGCTATGCTGCACCTTTGCCACAATAGAAAAATACAGATCTCTGTTTATTCAACCAATGAGAAGAACTGTAACAAAATAAATGCTGTACTGTACCTTTCTTTGACATGTACAAATTCTTTGTGTTTCCTGAGTTGTTCTGGTTTAGAATTGCCGATACTAAATCTAAAAGAACTTTCTCGTAGTCTATATCCACGTCGCCTACTGGACGTCATTGTTAAAATATTCTTTAAATGTTGCTGCAAACACAAGACATTTACAGAGTTTACATATGTTTACAGTTTACATGTTTACACATGTTTACAGTTATAATATGGGATTAGTATTGTCTGGAGTTTCATATACTATAACACTATTCAGCCTTGTTTGCTTGCTCAAAGCTTACTCCTAGGTAAAGGAAATGTACAAAGCTATTATGAGGCCTCGTTCCCAAGTTCAAAATATTTTTCTATATGTAAACTTTGTTTCCAATAAATATTACAACCACTCTGAAACATGAGAAAGCCATGAAATCAAGTCAACACAAACCAATCAAACACAAAGGGTTTTTCATTTACCGATAATATTCCAGTCCTCTTTATCGATTAAATTTTTCATCTTGGGACACCAAGCAAAATTATGACATATAATTATGAATTATGTCTGACCCTCCTGAGCCAAACTAGCATGATGAAAAACTTACCTCTACAGCAAATCGTACTAATTGAACACAGTCATCTGTTACATTATCCAATTCATATTCCCAGGACGTGACAAACATACGGCCATGTAACATGGATATATCTGGCAAGAATAAATCTCTTGAACAAAATACTAGTGGAGAGTCTTCTGGAATTCCTTTTGCAAGAACTTGAGGTACATTTGTGTATGGCGATGACTCAACAAACCGATGCTAAATGAGAATAAACACGTGATAATGATCCACATCAAAACATTACTAAGAAACAGTTTTACTGCGAATTCATCTAAATTTCATTTGTCACTTCTCTTCACAACAAACTCACCTCAAAGTTCACTCTTGTGTGTTTGACTTTCTTCAATTTCTTTCCTTTCCGAAGCATTCCTCGACTGGACGCCGAACTGCTCAATGATGAATCTTTACTGTTAAGAACTAAACATAAAATATACATACATAAGAATATCAGTTTATTTCCATGCAAGATTGAAGGTTTAACTTTTTCACAACCAGACTTTCTCGCACAAATTATTCTGCACTTTATCCTTATATTCTTCAATATTTCTGGAAATGAGCCCTAATTTTGGAGCCAACAGACAAGATTGAGTCAATTTTCAGCTTTTACTCAAAAATTTGGTTATTTTTGTCCTAGTCTTCTGAAGGAAAGAGCAGACTATAAACAGGACTATTTTGTGAATTTGTGATGAAAAGAGGGAACTGGTGATGAAAAGGTAAACACCAAAATATATGGGCGAATATTACCGTAGAAGTATCAATTTTCACTGCAGTGATCATGATACCATTTTTCCTGATTAACTGATCAAACGCACATGACCAAAAAATGTTTTCCAGGTTTTTTTTTGCAGCCATAAAAAATATAAACAATTGTGTACCAATTATTGCAATGCACAGGTGAATAAAGATGTGTCCTTGAGTGAATGTAAAGCAGAAATAAAAATGCATCCATATTGAACAAAACATTTTACCATCTTGCTAGCAAAGTCATGGTTATTTGATATTCCAGTGGGGTCATAAAGACGAGTGTGGTTTTTTTCATTATGCAGAATACTGCAGTGTCAAAGGGGTGGTATTATTTATAGGACTGTTATTCAGATCACTACCAATGCCTATGTGTCTGACAGCATCGGCAACACAGTGATTGTCAGTATTTATACTGTAATCACTAATGAACAGATAAGCCATGACAGAGTCGCAAACATGATTGACAGTAGTAATTTGCTATTCTTGGCTGTTATTTTGACATGATTTTTCGGCATAGGGTTGATATGCGAACAACACTCAACACTATATTCTTACAATGTATATTCTCATAATAAGATTGTTTGAACTTTAGCTAAATTAAGATTCTGTTAATACATGCATTAATATATAAAGTAAAATTCACTAAAATGGCATGTAGCTATTTCAGTGTGTTTTACAGTACACAAGTTTGTATCGCACCCTCATCGCATGTATGATTATGTAAACTGCAGACCCTTGTTTTTATCTACCTTTGGAAATGTACAGTACTCACCTGGGGAAGATCCTAGAGTTTGGCACTTAGTGAGAATTGCTAATAAAAATTCGTTGTGATAATGTACTGTAGAAAAAAACAAAAAAATGTTTAAAAATGCATATATTGAGATTGTTTAATTACATGAAAAATTGTATAAATATTTTGAGTTTAGTAATTTGTAAGAAGTTTTAGCAAACTATTTTCAAGTACACTTACCATTTTCTGAAGTAAGAAGTCTCCTCGCTTCTAGGTCAAATTCTTCTTTGTTTATCTACAAACACAAATATTTTAATGATTAGGTTTTATGTGAATAGCATTTACTGTGATGGTCACTTTCAACCCACTGCCAGCTTTTGGCTCCATTTGCAAAATTATTTTGTGCAGTATGCTCAGCCTCACATGAAATGATAAGAAAAATTGACAACAACTTTTGATCAAAAATTAAAAGCAAGATCAGAAGCTGTTTGGACATTTCAAAATGGTGAGGAAATTCAGTAAAATTTTTACAAAATTTGAAAAATTTGGCAAAGAATTTTCGACCAGAAAAATATCTGGCTTCAAAGATTTAAAGCCAAAATCAGCTTTGGTCAACAAATAAAACTAATTTTCTAATTATTTATAAAATTTTTTTTATCAAGACCTGGTTCAAATAATTATGCAAAGAAATTATCAAAAAATATATAACTAGCAACCTGACGTCTGGGTTTGTTGATACTGTATTTGCTCTATTAGAAGTACATCTCTTATAGAAGTGCTTGTAAATGATAATTTGTGAACTATCATTTAAATTTTACTTGTTTTGGGCGTAGACACACCACTGACATTTACATAGGAGCATGTGCTACTAAAAGAGCAAATGGGTAGTGTGTTTTCTTTTCTTGTAGCATCTATACCTTAACACTTCGAGCACCAAATTTTTGTCCCGCTTAAATTTTGGTAAATTTGTTCACAATTTTTGTAATTTTCACTGAATTCAATCTTAATTTTGGACTAAACGGACAAAATGTAGCAATGCTTCTAGTTTTTGATCAAAAATTTCAAAACATTTCATGTGAAAAATAGCAGCCTATATGAAGATTACTTTGGTGCTCACGAGGGTAATTGAATTCAGAATACTAATTTCAATACACACCTAACGGTGAGATGTCAACTAGTATTTTCAAGAAAAGTACAGTATCATATGATCACTGATATTAACTCAGATATTCAAGGTGTCAAAGGTCATGAATCATGATAGAAAGATATAAATCAGAGTTTAGTGAGAACTATAGTTTACTTATCGACACTGTTAACAAGTTTGATTACCTTTTGTCGGTACCAAAGCTTCATGTTACTCCAATACCTAGAAATAATAAAAAAAATTAATAATTTTAGTCTATGTGTCATTTATTGCTGGTCCTTGATGTTTTTGAACTTTATTTAATACAAATAGACAGAGAATACAACAATGAATAATTGGGGAAAAAAATGTAATGTTGTTTATATGACTCACGTATTTAAATACAAATTAGTATAATTAAAACCAAATTAGTATAATTAAAACCAAATATACTGAAGTCGGCTAAGGCTGTATGATATCATTTATTTACAAATCCTAAATACATGTATTTATAAAATTAAATGGCAGTTGCACATTGTACAAGCATATGTAGTGACATAAGGTTGTTCTAATTTAGGGGAGACTTTGCTGACTTCAGTGTAATGGTACTTTATTATACCGGTACATCTGTCACCGTAATGTCATAAGTTACAGCATGCCGTAATTTTGCAGTATTTTACGGGGTATTTTCATCCTACCATATCAGGAAATGCGAATTCCAAATATGTAATGATTACGGGTGTAAGCATTCTCTAATAATAAAAACAAACATGGCTGCCACCAGGGTTTGACTGGGCTCCACACAAAGAAGTTTGCTGATTCTTTTCTAAACATTTTGGATTTCGGCATTCCCATGATGTATTCTTGGAAGTAAAAGATGTATAATAATAATAAGGTTAGTATGAGGATACCTCAAAGTATGCACTCAGACAGTACACTGTCGCATCGACCTCCGCTGTACAGTCATCGTGCATACTTGGAGGTATCCTCGTAATAACCTCATACTATAAACATATTTGCAAACATGAATTCAATTAATATGTAATTGTGATTGGCCCAGGAGCTCAACAACATGCAAGTGACATATGGGTTGTCAATTAGAAAATAATTAATTCGTAAACTGTTTTACACCACCCTTACTCAGCCCATTTACTTAATGCATATGATTGTGTAACATTGAACTAACTTATTAATTCAAACTCGATATGATGTCATAGCATCATGGCTGGATTGGTCAAATAGAATTTTCACAGCAATTTTGGAATTCATAAAACATTTATAACATTCACTACTTTTAGTCATACACTGTAAAACCATTCATTATGAAATATATACAGTGTGTATGGTATACTGATGACCTTGCTATCTAATTCTCATAAATAACAGCAAGTGTCCTCTAAAATAGTGACTTTTCTTCAAAAGTCAAAGAAATTTTCCCAATTAGTGTGAATTAAAATTTCAGCAATTCTCATACTAAATCTTGGAGTTGTGTGAAAATTAGGTTAAAAGAACAGTGGTTATCGTGTCCAAATTTTGTGTAAACAAACATTTTTGACATATATGCGGGGTCTGTATCAAACATAATATGACACATGATCACCACCATTGGATTGCGAGGATTAATATCTACCAATCAGGAGACTTTTCTATCACTCACATAAAAAATTCCATGGTAAAGCATTTTGAACACCGGTGGGCCGTTCGCAAAATAAAGGTAGATGTTGTTATTATGTTGTTTTAAATGCACAAATACTTGCGGATATATGCGGATGACCGTAAACCTAGTATACTGGCAAAATAACATTTCCGTATCGTGGAAAGTCCCGTAATTTGTCTTCCAAATTTCACGATTTGGAGTGACCCCAAAGTCAGCTCAGAATAATGCCAAATCCAGAGTGTTATTTGATCCATGTTTAGAATTGTCTTATACGACAAAGTAAACGCTATGATATAGCGTGTCCTAGTAAAAACCATTTCCTAGTGCACTGTGCAGTCGTGTGCTTCCATCTTTGTAAATGTACGTGAACGGAGGAGCGTAAACAATGCTAAATTTTTAAAGACCCAAATAAGGTTTTAGCGTTTACAGAGTAGGAACAGCTTTTAAACCATTGTCGAAAGACAATCCAAGTATATCAGCTTTATTCGCCATATGTGTCTTTACGACATTATCATTCAATACGATGTTCCTTTGACATTGACACTGACTAGAAAATCAAAATCGTACAACAGAGACGATTATCCTAGGTGTATTATCCTTGTTGAAACCTCCAGAGTTGCGCCATAAATACCCCCAGCTGGCTAAACTAATAGAAAGTACTTACTGTTTGGTATTGTCCCCGAGAACATCGGTCAAGTTCTTCCGAGCGGCGTTCAACTCCGTGACGGCAGCCATTTTAAATTGCCTACAACAGCGCCACCGACGGACATAAGTAATTTTCTTTCTATCCTCGGGGGCGGAGCTACGTCACGGACGTTCTACGTTGCTAAGATGCACACCACTGTACCACGTATTTCTCAATCTCCTTCCCAGAGGCCTTTGCGCTTTGTGCAGTGATGATAAGTAACGCGTATCGAACTGTGCGGAGTTCGCGTATTTCTATGGGCTTTAATTTTGTGCGCGCTGCTGTGGAACGCCGGTGGAGCCGGTGAAA